GGAGCCCACTGCAGCAGAGACAGACTCTTCCCAGCAGCCCACTGCAACAGAGACCGACTCTTCCCGGGAGCCCACTGCAGCAGAGACAGACTCTTCTCAGCAGCCCACTGCAAAAGAGACCGACTCTTCCCAGCAGCCCACTGCAACAGAGACCGACTCTTCCCGGGAGCCCACTGCAGCAGAGACAGACTCTTCTCAGCAGCCCACTGCAAAAGAGGCCGACTCTTCCCAGCATCCCACTGCAACAGAGACTGAATCTTCCCGGGAGCCCACTGCAGCAGTCATAAACTCTTACCAGCAGCCCACTGCAACAGAGAATGACTCTTCCCAGCAGCCCACTGCAACAGAGACAGACTCTTCCCAGCAGCCCACTGCAACAGAGACAGACTCTTCCCAGCAGCCCACTACAACAGAGGCCGACTCTTCCCGGGAGCCCACTGCAACAGAGACCGACTCTTCTCGGGAGCCCACTGCAGCAGTCACAGACTCTTCTCAGCAGCCCACTGCAAAAGAGGCCGACTCTTCCCAGCATCCCACTGCAACAGAGACTGAATCTTCCCGGGAGCCCACTGCAGCAGTCATAAACTCTTACCAGCAGCCCACTGCAACAGAGAATGACTCTTCCCAGCAGCCCACTGCAACAGAGACAGACTCTTCCCAGCAGCCCACTACAACAGAGGCCGACTCTTCCCGGGAGCCCACTGCAACAGAGACCGACTCTTCTCGGGAGCCCACTGCAACAGAGACAGACTCTTCCCAGCAGCCCACTACAACAGAGGCCGACTCTTCCCGGGAGCCCACTGCAACAGAGACCGACTCTTCCCAGGAGCCCACTGCAGTGGTCACAGACTCTTCTCAGCAGCCCACTGCAACAGAGACCGACTCTTCCCGGAAACCCACTGCAGCAGTCACAAACTCTTCTCAGCAGCCCGCTGCAACAGAGATAGGTTTTTCCCAGAAGCCGACTGCAGCAGACCAAGACTGCTCCCAGAAGATCACTTCAACAGGCACAGTCTCTTCCCAGCAGCCCACTGCAACAGTCACAGACTCTTCTCAGCAGCCCACTGCAAAAGAGACCAACACTTCCCAGCAGCCCACTGCAACAGAGACCAACTCTTCCCAGGAGCCCACTGCAACAGAGACCGACTCTTCCCAGGAGCCCACTGCAGTGGTCACAGACTCTTCTCAGCAGCCCACTGCAACAGAGACCGACTCTTCCCGGAAACCCACTGCAGCAGTCACAAACTCTTCTCAGCAGCCCGCTGCAACAGAGATAGGTTTTTCCCAGAAGCCGACTGCAGCAGACCAAGACTGCTCCCAGAAGATCACTTCAACAGGCACAGTCTCTTCCCAGCAGCCCACTGCAACAGTCACAGACTCTTCAGACACAGACTCTTCCCAGCAGCCAACTGCAACAGAGGCAGATTCTTCCCCTGAGCCCACTGCAGCAGGCACAGACACTTCCCAGAAGTCCACTTCAACAGGCACAGACTCTTCCCAGCAGCCCACTGTAATAGAGACTGACTTTTCCCAGGAGCCCACTGCAAAAGACACAGGCTCTTTCCAGCAGCCCGTTACAACAGAGGAAGACTCTTCCCGAGAGCCCACTGCAGCAGACACAGACTTCTCCCAGAAGTCCTCTGCAACAGAGACAGATTCTTCCCCTGAGCCCACTGCAGCAGTCACAGACACTTCCCAGAAATCCACTTCAACAGTCACAGACTCTTCCCAGAAGACCACTGCAATAACCACAGACTCCTTCCAGCAGTCTTTTGCAACAGAGACAGATTCTTCCCAGCAGCCCGCTGCAAAAGAGACAGACTCTTCCCAGAAGCACACTGTAACAGCCACAGACTCTTTCCAGCAGTCTGTTCCAACAGAGACTGACTCGTCCCAGCAGCTCAGTATAACAGAAAGTGAGTTTTCCCAAAATCCCACCAAAATGTGGATAGACACTTCCAAACATCCTATTGAAACAGAAAATGAATCCCTTCAAGACATCACTGCAACAAAGTCTGACTGTGTGAATGAGAAAAAAGATGAGAACTTATCCGAAGCCTTTAGCAAACTAATACCCATTCCAGAGGCTAACAATACTCAAAAAGAAAATAGCATATCTCAAAATGCAGTCATCACAGACTCAGGTTCCCCAGCTAAACATTCCCAATCTGAAACTGTTACACCTTGTGATAGCCAAGTGGAACTAAACCAACCACAAGCATGGGCCAAACCATGTATAACTCCTACAGTTAAAGACACAGACAATGGTGCTTTAACTAGTCTTGATTCAGTGGAGGTGAGTTCAACTCAGTCTCAAGGTTCTCCAGAGCCTTGCCTGTCCTCGAATGAGATCAACTCAACTCAGGGAATAACACAATTACAATCTAGCTTTTCATCAAACCCTATGGAATCTAGCTGTCAAAATGACTCAAAGCCTGAGAAAACAGATGAGTGCCAGAAATCTGACACAGAGCAAACTCAGAATCATGACACTTCAGCTGTAGATGCAGGGCCCAAGATAGCTCACATAGAAGTTTCTACAGCAACAGACTCTAATGAGGTTGATAAATTTAAACAAACAACACCAGAGGTAGAAAACACTGTGACTAACTTTGCAGAGGTGTCAGAAAAATCACATTTGACTGTACACAGTAATTCAAGTAAGTCTTCTGTTGCAGAGAATGCAAAATCGATAATGTCTGCCCATCAGACATCTACTGCAAATGTTATCTCTTGCAGCAACCTTAGAGATGACACTAAAGTTCTTTTAGAGCAAATTTCAGCAAAGAACCAAAGCAGATCTTCCCAGTCCAAGCAGACTCTTGCTGCACCCAATGAAGCCAAAAAGGGTGAGGTTAGCTCTGCAGATAAATTGTTTTCAAATAATTCAGGAAGGCCCTGGTCCTCCAAGGCTACACCAGAAGAGCGGGAGATGTTACTACAAAAGATGGAGCAAATGCGTAAAGAGAGGAAGGCCTACAGCCGTTTTGAGGTATGTTGTAGAATTTATTTCATATGAATTCATCATTTTTAGTAATGTTGTATGTGCTTGTATGCATGCACATTTTTTAAATTGCTCTGAAAATATTGATAGTCTGTTGCATAGATTCATTGTCCAAAAGCACAATATCCAAAAGACTGAAGTTAAATGTTTAAATGTAAATTGATATTTGCTATATTACTCAAGCATTTGTATTTGGTGTTTTCACAGACCTCGTGAATTAAACCATTGGAAGAGGGGCTCCATTGATGAACAATAAGAGGAAAGCGATTTTGCCAGATTTTTTTTACCTCATAACTGTGAACCTGCACAAACTTGGATTGAAGTGTCTAATAACTTCTGATTATACCAAAGAGTGCTGCCTATATTGAGAGAATAGAAATCCCTGCAGGGCTTAACAAGCTATGCAGATGATCTGTGTGACAAAACAGGAACTCAACCTTTACCGGCTGGAATAAGCTTTTGATAGGGCAGGTATTTCTCTGTGTGTGTATATATAGTGTAGCTGTGAAACACATTTCTGAATCTTTTGTAGTTATTGGGAGTTCTATATTCAGAAATTATGATCTGATATAAATACTGTAAATAGAGAGTTGTTTACATAACAAAAACAAGGAGTTAATTAAAAATGGAACTGCCAGAGACAGAGCATGTGAGCGATGTGGAGTGGGGGAGGAGTTGCGTGCTATTGCCAGGAGCAAGGAGCAGGTTTTCTGAAAGTCTCCAAGATTGTTCTGATACTGCTCCAACATGTTAACAGACTATTGTTTGTGTTTCAATACAGCATAAAACTTTTCTCCAAGTATTGTTTTTTTTTTTTCATTTAATATATGTATATTGTGCCCAGATGTTTTTCAGTGATAATAAAAACAAACACTGAAAGAACTTTATAGTGTATCAGTAATTGGGCACAATTTTTTTCTATGTAGTGAACTTGAAGCAGTGAGTAACAGGAGATGGAAAACATGAGACAAAGTGGAGCTGGAGCAAAATGATCACAGGATGCTTTGAGGAGGGAAAAGGGAAATTGTTCAGTCACATGATCTGGCCAGAGAATAGAAAAGGACTTTGTTTACTAGTCCATCAGTTGATTGTGTAAAGCAACAATATGCCAACGTAAAATACATTCTGTTGGTCTGTGTTGATGCACAATGGAAACTCCAAAAGCACATGTTTTTGAGTCCAGATAACATGTACATGCAGCACCTTTTGCTAAAAGGAGTTTCTCAATATACCAAATCGATAAAGTACACAAAAATTTGCAATATTGTGAATTTAGGATGAGATATTGATTTATTCACATTGTGAAATCTGTTTGTCAAAAATTGCCAGTGTATTAAGACTGCATCTGTTTATGATGGAGGTCCCCATAAGCTACGCGTGTAGAGAACCAAAAATTTCTGTTACATATTACCACCCGTTACAAAGGTTGTATGTTTGAATCATTTTTAGAGCAAAATGAGTAATACTACACCAATATGAAACTAAAATAAAACTAGAACATAAGACATGTTTTTCAAATATTAAAATCTCAAATGTGCGTTATTTGCTTTTGTCGCAATCTAGGCTTTCAGAACAGTAATGAAAGAAAATGCTCAATGGGAAGGAATTTATCAAAAAAAAAATGTGTTTATTAATCTTCTGATGAAAGAATAGTTTACACAATGTTTGTTTTTTGTTCAATCCTTTGGCACCATTATGTGTGTTTTATATGGGAACAAATGGATAGTTGACTCAAAAATAAAAATTCTGTTATCTTTTACCTTCAAGTCATTCCAAACTTATATGACTTTCTTTCTTCTCTGGAAAAGAAAACAGCTGAAACTTGATAAATGATGGCAGAACTTCTATGTTCTTTTAAGCCAATAAATATTGCAGTGAATGTGGCTATATAGACCATATTACAACATGAAAAATATTTTGTGGTGAGTATCACCTTTGCTTTCAAAACAGTGTTGCCAACTAATTTTCAGGGAAAGTTGCTAAAGGCAGGACAATTTGTTGCTAAAAGTTGCTAAATGACGTAGTGATGTCATTGTGCGATGACATCATGTAATTACAATGCAAATCAGATCACTCAAATCTCAGCAAAAAATACGATTATAAAAATGATTTGAAATGTTCATTTAGATTTGTTAGTAAAACAAAAATAAATATAATATTAAAATATAATATATATCTATTTTTAAATGCAACATTGAATTAGTGAACATTTACACGTTTTTGAACAATTACATTTGATGTATTTTCTTATTAAAGGGTTAGTTCACCCAAAAATGAAAATTAGCCCACAAATTACTCACCCTCAAGTCATCCTAGGTGTATATGACTTTCTTCTTTCAGACGAATCCAGTCATATACACCTATAGGATGACTTGAGGGTGAGTCATTTGTGGGCTAATTTTCATTTTTGGGTGGACTAACCCTTTAAGTTTGTAGTTCTGCTGTTTTGGCTGATTTTTGCCTATGATCGACAGCTGGTCTATCCAGCTTCAATGGACAGCCTCTTCCCTCCATGGATGAATCATGCTATGGTTTGTTCTCTATAATGATAAGCTTTTAAAAATATGTCAATTAAATAATCTTCCTACGACCTTTTGATCCATTGACTGACTAATACCAGTGACTTTGTATGCTTGATTCATAGCACAATTTTGTTCTCCCAATCTTGTTTGGTGAGATCCTGCTGGAGCCACATATCTATCCTAAAACAAAGAATGGTTTAGCAGCTTTGGAATTTGTTAATCTTGCTTATTTAGGATGATAAATTATGATTATGTGGGGAAGTGTGCTAGTTTTGAAACTATTTACTTATGCTTTGGACACAACTAATATATTTTTTTCTCTTTTAAGGTAGTTTGGGTGTATCCATCTTCTTTCTTAACATGCTTGTGGTGGCGCTGCTGTACTTACTGGGACAAACTTTGAATAGTAATGTTTGGGGTGAGAAATATGCAGAATCATATTTCTGAGTTTTATTTTCATGATATATTTTTATCTATTGGAATACTTGTGAGGAATATTGATGCAGCTATGTCAAAACTTCACCAATACCAATATACCAATTAATATTTCCTTTTACTCTCACAGGGAAAGTACATCCAAAATTTACTAGAACATGATGTCACATGATTCCTGTGAATATGGCCTTATGAATATCTGATATGAACCATTTCCAAGTTATCTGAATGGCGTCAGTGCAGATGTCTGATGCTGCACATTTGTAATAAGTACACTTGCATTATCATAGTTTTGTGTATATATATATATATATATTATTTTTTTTTTTTTATTTTTATTTATTTATTTATTTTTTTTAATTATAGTTTTTCATACTTTTATTTATTTTAGTGCTGTCAAACGATTAATCGCGATCAGAAATCTCTTTTTTACAGGAAGCTTTCTGGAATAGGTGCTACTGTATGTGATATTTGCCATCTCCTTTACAGCCCCAATTTCCTGACGAAAAACAGCTTTTTTGGTATTTTCTGTATAATGTTTAACTGTGCGCTGTACCTTCACACACATCTTTTATTTGCATTCATTTGTTGTTTATGTTCATTTGTGTTTGCAAAATCCAAAGTTACTAAGATAATATACATTCAGTTGTATTGTAAATTCAGTAGTAGGGCTGCCGAAGTTAAAATGTTTGTTTTTGCTTGATGGCAAGATGGTCTTTTTTTCTGGATTTATTCATTTATTCAAATAAATAAATTAATACATGTAAAAAAAAAGTTAAATAAATAAATAAAATAACTAAATAAAAATGTAATAAATACAGAAAATGATGTACACCTCTTGAATGATGAGCACGTTTTAATTTCTAAATTAAATTTTTTATTTTTTTATTTTTATTTATTTATTTATTTATTTTAATTAATTAATTTTTTTTAAATCTGTGACCACTTCTGCTAATGTAAATTTGAAACTACAATATGTATCAGATGTTATAGACATTTCTGGAAATTTGCAACTGATAATAAAACTAGTGTCCTCCAACATTTATTGAACAAGTTATTTAACAAAATCAAAAACTGCATAAGTGATCATAAATAGCTGTTTTATGAATTTGTATAAAGCTCAACATGACTTTGTTCAACTATTTATATAGCTTTATATTGAAACATCTTAAACTGAATTGCTTCAGTTCCATTCAGGTCTGTCTTTGGAAACTTTGAATTTTGGGTGAACGATGCCAAATATTTTCTGTACATTGTAGGAATATGTTTAATGCATGCTGATCCAAATGTTAGAAACATATGATGATAATTCACAGTGCAGCAATTCTCTACCCTAGAGAGCTATTCTTCTTCATGGGAATCGGTGCTAGTATCATATAATTTATTCTCTGTCCATTTGAACGGAGTCTGTCAGAACAGATGATCCAGATGTTTGGGACATCATTTCAGGAAGAAGCGCTTCACAGTCTTTTAAAGGTTTGGGAGGACAACAATCTTTGCCATGTTACATGTTTCCTTGAATAACCAGTAACCGAAGTAAAAGAGAACCTTTATCAGGGTTAACGATCGGGAAGCGAGACTCATATAATCGTCTGAATGACTCTTCCCCTCTCAGGTTGAACTTCCTCTCAGATCTCTGTATTCTTTTATATGGTGCAGAGTGTTTGGATCTGCATCCACCAGCCCAACAGAGAGGAGTCTAATGATGAGGTGAAGTTCCTGATCATTCATTCTCCACTGCAGGAAAACAATCAGATGTCAACGTGTATCCTTCAGTCAGCGGTAAGAGAACGAGATATATTTTCACATATATAGCCATCTACCTTGTTTATGTAAAGCATATTTTTTTCTTGGAAGGCATTCCCAACTTTGGCATGTATCTGTGTCGGAGACAATACAGTCAATAAACACGTAAGACAACATTCAAACCGCTTTTGAGCAAAACAGCAGCATTAAAACACTCATAGTTTATCCACCTTAAAGGGATCGTTCACCCAAAAAGGAAAATTCTGTCATCATTTACTCACCCTCATGTCGTTCCAAACCTGTATGAGTTGCTTTCTTATGTTGAACACAAAAGAAGATATTTTGAAGATTGCTGGTAATCAAACAGTTGGTGGTTGCCATTGACTTCCATAGTAGGAATACTATGGAAGTCAATGGCAACCACCAACTGTTTGATTACCAGCAATCTTCAAAATATCTTCTTTTGTGTTCAACATAAGAAAGCAACTCATACAGGTTTGGAATAGGGCTGCATGATAAATCGCATGCGATATTTAACGCGCATCTTATCAGTAAAGCCGTTCTGTAATCAGCGGTAAATCTCCATCACCTGCGTGCTTTCACATTGAGCAGCATTAACTACACAGAGCCGTTGTTCACTGACGAGCTGTGCAAAACCACGTTCATATTCGCACGTTTTTTTGCGCAGCTCGTCAGTGGCTTTCTGACAAGATGCGCGTTAAATATCGCATGCGATTTATCGTGCAGCCCTAGTTTGGAACGACATGAGGGTGAGTAAATGATGACAGAACTTTCATTTTTGGGTGAACTATCCCTTTAAGATATGTGTCCCTATCTGTTCTATAATGATGAGTGTTCAAAAAGCTACTGAATTTACTACTTTAATGTAGTTCAATGTCTTGTTTCCAAGATGCTG